TTAAAGAAAGAATTTTTAGTATCAACCTTATTTGATTACACGCTTTGTTGTTTATCTGAAGAATTTTTAAATGCTTTCATTTCAATTCATTCAGAAGAAATCAGAATAAAACTTTTTAATGGTAATGGATTTGCTGGAGAAGAAAGACGTAAAAAAACAAATAAATATTTGAAATATAAAGACATTTAGTTTAGTAATAAAAAAAATGGGTTTGAAGTAATAGAGTAAATACTAACCTAAAGATAATTTAAGTTTTATTATCTGTACATCTCTGTAACCAGTGTCACAGATAATATAATAATGTAAACCTGACAGCATTATTAACCTCTGTAATTGTGATTGATTACATTCTTGATAGTTAAGATTTGCCGCTAGATGTCGCGGCAGTGGGCGGCTGACCTAGCTAATTATTACCAGCTTCTTCCTATATCTGTTTAATGCAGTAAATAATAACTAAAGAGATAAATGTAGACGTAAAAACTGAGAAAAGAGTTGAAGGAAAGTAGTTTTACCTAGGCTTTAGAAACTGAGAACTTAGATGTGTCCCAAAAGGTTTATTAGACAGCGCTGCCTTAATAGTTACGTTAATGCAAATAAATTTAGAAAGTACAAAGCTACATGCAATGGGATGAGCGTATAAACTAACAAGCTCTTGTTTAACGGCTTATATGTAGGTTGTGAGTACTTAAACAGTATGTTGCTTGTATCAATTAAGTCAAGGTATGATGACAGATGACAACCCTTTTAAAACTCACCCATTATAGACAAATTTGTAGATAGCTATTCAAACATAAATTGGGATTAAAGACTTTATTAGATTATCATAATAGCCAAGAGAAATAACTCCTAATATTGTTTAATAGGATAAGGAACACGACGTCTGGAAAATGTCGGAGCGGATTTGATCAACTTAAATTTTTGTGTCGTCGAAATTGTTTCAAATTACCGTTACGTGGGACGTTGTGTATCTTGACTAGACTGTTATACTCAATTATAGATGACAGAAATTATATTTATGATTGTTGATTACGATAATATCATATGATTCAGGCAATTCGTTGAACTTATTAGAAGCATTGTACTGATTACCACTGTTTATTAAATGAACTTCATAAACTACTAATAAAATGGATCTAAAAACTGCTACAATCGGTGCTAAAACATACGAAGGTTTATTTTTAACGGTGGAAATATTCCCAGAGACAGTGTAAAGTATCAAATTAGCCTTACCTCCTCATTGTCACTTTCTTCAGCAGTCGCAATTGCGATTTTTGCATCTAAATGTTGCTCAGCGCTGTCCATTTGCTTTTCAAGTTCTATAGCTTCCACTTCAATAGATGGTGACCTTCTTAGTTCTTCTATACCCAACGAGTGCTCTTGTGGAGACCGCACGGCCCGAGGACTAGGCATTTTCAACACCAAAGGTCGAAAGTTTAGAAGATTTGCAGCTGGAATAAGAGAAACGAAAAAATATAATAACATACGGTAAAAATGCACTTGAAGATTCTGACTATTAAAATTAAACATTGAGGTAGTCAAAAAGTACTTAGATAAAAAGGAGACTGAAAAAACTATAAAGTGTGCGAATGAATTACCTTTCTTACTTTCGTCGTAAACCGCTAAGATAATAAACGGAAAATTCTACAGAATTTACTAATTGTAATAGACAATAAGTTTATAATTTAATTCGAAGTCTTCAAAGGTTAAATTTAATATTATCTTACAATACATATAGCCCTCATTTAAAAGGTTGTTCAAATTTATTTGCATAACAAGTACGTCACTTGTCGGCCTTGTGTATAGATTAGTACTAAGTAGGATATGAGTATAATAATTAATATGTTACCTTTGTTTTCGTCCCTACTTCTTTGATTTTTCCGTTTAGCTTGTCGAGAACTTTGTATTTTTTGTATAGTGCGAGGTGATATAGGTTTCATGGCGATTTTCTGAATACCACTACCAGGTAGAAGTGTGGCGACTACTTTTTTAGGGTTATCAACTTCGGGATTCTTAGTGTAAGCTCCAAAAGTGATGTCATCTGGCTCAGCATCGATATCGATGAAGCTTTCTTCGAATAACTCGTAGTTTTCTAAATCAGAATCGAACTCACTTTTCGAACAGTCGGGTTTAGATTTCAGACTAGTCGTATCTGAATTACGTCGATAGCACACTTGTTTAGGATCTGGTGATGAGAAATTACGCACATTTCCCTTGTTTTCGTTTTCACTATTTCTTGCGGGTGATGAATGGCTTCTAGGAAGTTGACTCGTCTTTACATTTTGTATTTTACGTTGCAGATGTTGTTGAATCCTCGTGGAAATCAAACTTCTCCCTCTATTCGTTGGAAGATGTTGTTCCTTACGACGCATGACTTAATGAACTGTTTGCTTTCACGTGTTGTTCTCTTTGGACACGGGATGTGACTGCAAGAGGGAATCGATTTGTAACATGTTACTGTATGTGTCTATTCCTATCAGATCATTTACATATCAGGTGACGAGGCCGGTCGTAGCGAATTGAAATGCAATATGATAAGCAACAGTGAGCATGACCAACTTAAACTTAATGTTAGATACATCCGTACATACCTGATGATATACAGTTCCTTGATTTATATAATGTTTACTCTAATTTAATTACTTAATGTCCCGAAAATCGTACTTAGAATTGAATAAAAAGTGAATCAAGAATTTTAATTACACAAAAGGTACGCAATATAATAAAAACAAAAATGAACAGGCACGTGGTCTTTGGAAGTGATAAATTAGTAGTAAGCTCTATAATACAATTGTGAAGGAGGAGGCGTCGTCAAAGGCGTAACGTAGGCAAACAACTTTCTCTTATATGGAACCTTGTCGATATTAATTTTGTGACATTCGGAAAATTTTAAAATCAAATTAAGCTACTGCAGACAAAATTGCGACTTCTGATTATTTTTAAATCTCGATTGAAAGTGAGCACGCGCACACCTTTGACTAAGCTATTGCAAAACTGTTTAATTGCGATTTGATTCCTATGAGCTTCTGTGGAGGTGCGCACACTGCTCAATTTTTAATTGTGCAACTAAACAGTTGACTGCGAAGGAATCGATCGCACAACTGAGCGACAGTTTAGTCAAAAGTGTGCGCGCGGTCTCTCATTCGAGATTTAAAAAAATAAGCACCGCAAGTGGCAATATTATCTGCAGTAGCTTAATTTGTTTTGCTTAAATTGTTATTAAAAATTCTGAATGTTACAAAAAATGATGGGTATGCGCTAAGCTCTTATTGATGGTAATTTTTATACATTTACGAACAATTTATCGAGTCCAGTTTATTTGAATCGTTTCTGAAACAGGTAATTTACGCAATAAAAGAGAATGTAAACGTAACTTTCGTTTCGTAAACTGTAACAGATTTAATACTTCAATTGTTGACGAATCTACAAGCAGAAGTAAAAAGTGTGTGCGTGCAAAATAGTATGTGTTTTGTTGTAAAACTAATTCAAATGAAGTAAATGTAAGTTATTTTTATACCTTAATAATAAAAACAAAATTAGCTTAATAGTAATAAGTGAAATGATCAGTGAATTTTGCGGTTATTTGAGCGCATGAACATTAATTTCGATTTCCAGCTCCGTGATGTAGGTAATTGATGATAATTGTAGATACTGAAGGTAATTGATCACCACATAACTTTTGATTTTCGTGTAATAAATTAAGTTATTTTAAAATGTAATTCACCGATAGATCGTGTCAAACGCAAATATTGCTAAAGTTTAAATGATATAGAAATACAAAAATAGATGGCGTTAAAAACATATAACGTGAAAAGTTTTGTGTGGACCAGTAGATGGCAGGAATCACAGAAAAAATATTAACATAGCTTTAAACCGCGACTTCCAAGAAATAAGAAACTTAGGTGTAGTTATTTCCCTATATGCTATTTTAGAGAAAAATATTTTTCTGTACCAAATTTCGTCCAGATTATAATATTAGCAAGACAATCATATTATTCATTGACTTGGCCAAAATAATCTTTTTTTCGATTTTGATTTAGAACTTCGATTACTTGAATTTTTTTTGTTACTTTTAACTTTTAGGTAAATTTATTAATTTTCATGTTAACGTTAATAGAATATAACACATGTAAATTCATGTTAAGATTTTTGCGTTTACGTCTGTTACGGTAGTTAGTTTAATTACGCGCGGATATACGGATCTAAGTTCAGGGTTGGCGATTTTCGAATATTGTAAATTGTGGTCCATTTATTTATAGAGTTGTTGGACTTTTATTTTATTTTTGTTATCACATCGGGGTTCATTACTAGGGCCATTTTATAGACCAAAAT